TTGTTGAGGCTGAATATAGTGCTGCATATTTTGTTTTCCCTGTATCATTTGACAAGAGTCATAAGAGGTCATAGTAGAAGTTAATATAGGATTGGTTTTGTTATGTACTGCTACCGATTGTTTATTTACATTTTTAACGTTGTGAGTACTACTCTTTTGTGTTTGTTTTTGTGGTTTCTCACCGCTGATATTTTGACCCTTCGAATTCTTCCTTTTTCGAGTCCCTTTTCCATCCTTTTTTGAATTCATACAGTATAAAAAGTCAGTTCATTTGTATATTCACTAGAATTAATTCTCACAATATAATTTTAAAGTTCATTTTTGTAAATTTCGTTAATTTTTTAACGAGCCAAAAAAATTACGTCCATGATGTTCACACATGCGCATGATGACAAAATAGTAGGGCCTATTTCCCAAATATTTATTTAACGCAAAAGGGTCATTTTCGAAAGATATGCGAGTCTTAACTAAATTTCGAAGTATCACAGCTTTTAGAACAGACTTTGAGGTTCATTGAAGTAAAAGTGTGGCTTATTTTTCTGAACATCCGACTGAATTACAAATGCATAAAGATAGCTTAATTGACTGTGATATAAATAATGGTGAATTGGCCACGCCTCTTTATATAATAATCCGAATTGAAAGTTTATTTATTGTGTGATTTTACACAACCAGTTTTATTTCACTCTTAAAAGTTTTGGAGGATTGGGTACTCACAAAATTAGTATTTGTGATTAGGTCAGTTTATAGGGAACCAATAGTGGTAAGTTAATGATATTTGGTATGCTATTGTATTAGCATTTGTACATCTCATGTCCATGGAGATTATTTGGCCCTGCTCCCTCAGTCATGGTCTATTGACTGAACTTTTTGCTCATTTTACATATATTTGTTTGTGATTAGGTCAGTTTATGGGGAACGAATAGTGGTAGGTCAATGATATTTGGTATGCTGTTGTATTAGCATTGGCACATCTCATGTCCATGGAGAATATTTGGCGTTGCCCCCTCAGTCAAGGTCTATTGAGTTTGAAGGTTTTGCGTATTTTACCGTGATGATGTACAATGTATTAGTTTGTGATTAGGTCAGTTTATTCGGAACCACTCATGGTAGGTCAATGGTATTTGGTATGCAATTGTATTAGCATTGGCACATCTCATTTCCATGGAGACTATTTGGCCCTGCTCCTCCAGTCACGGTTCATTGACCTTGAATATTTTGCATAACTTTCATGTTAAAGTATTTCTTATTTAATTTCAACATTTGCATTTTAATATCAAAATAACAAAAAAGGAGAAATATCTCTGTATTTAATTTAACAGTTTATTTTGTATCTTTTTATTCGAGAGGATAGAAATAGCATTCACTGTCAAACTAGATAGCAAAACTCACCTTCTTAGGTCTTATATTTAAATGGAGTTTGGTAATGATATATAAATTTATGATTTTACTGTTCGTTTTGATTGCCTTTGCATCTAGACTGGTGATCCAAAAGCCTGGATTAAAGTCGGAGAACTTACCTACATGAAAAAAGTATATCTGAATATTTGACCGTGAAGAATCTAGCTGGCTAGTCAGTTTTGCCCTCTATGGAATAACTTTATCTATACCTGTATTGTGTAAACATTAAATTTGGACAGAGTGATCAATGAAAAACATTCAGTGCCAAAACAAAAACCAATATACTTTACCTAAGGCAAAGTTATTTAAATATTTTTTTTTTATAATGAATTTTCTTTATTGTAACAAATAGACTAGCACAACATGTATGAACAAAGGCATACAGAATGGCATATTCACACAAAGGAAGTATTAAATAAATTAAACAACAATTGCATATATGATGGTGCTACAATAGGTTGAAAATAAATAATTTTCTTATAACATTGGAATCTTATTTGTTCTTGCAATATCTTTTAGTGGTGTTTCAATCAAAATTCGACATTTATTACTTATTCTATAATAGGGGCCCAGGGACTCCAGTATTTGTTATATTTATCTACAGAGAGGTTTTTAAATGAAATGTATTTTTCTAAGTTCAAGTGTTCCTTTAAATAGTTTTTTAAAGCATTTAAATTTGGCAAAACTTCTTGTAATTTTGTTCGGTAAATATAGTATTTTGAAAGCAGAATAATCTCATTTTTAACAAAATTCAATTTAACATTTTCGTAGATACCAAATAGAATAATCATAATATTCAAAGGCAGTTCAATATTTGTCATTTCAAAAATCCTGATGTTTAGTGCATGTCAGAGACTGGCGACCATCGGACAGCTCCAAAATAAATGTTCTATGGTCTCTTGTCCTTCTTTGCAAAATGAACATATGTTGCTACTATTTATTTTCATCTTGTAAAGTAGTGAATTAGTTCCTAAAATTCTATGTATAATTCTATATTGGAACCAGCAAAGCTTAGTGCTTCTAGTATATTTTGTACACGAAGTGTGTATTTTTTTCCAGTTAATACCAGTCATATTAAGATGGTTCTCCCATTTTTCCTTTGCAGCAAAAGTAATATATTTCTCATTCAATACTTTGTACATGTCCTTTGAACCTTTTTTTGATTCAAAGAAGATGCTTTTGTTAAAAGGTAGTATTGCTTGAATGTTTTCACTCTTTTATTTCAATATTGATCGTGTTTAACCACTCATTAAGCGAGTGTGCTATTCCATAATAATGTAAAATATTTGGCCTAAATTGATATAATTGTTGGAAATTTTGAAATGACATAACTTTGCCCTGATAATCTAACAAGTCATGCACTGTCCAAATTCCAGCCTTTGCCCAGTTTTTATTGTAGACTCTTGAACCACCAATTTTAATGTTTTCTACCCCCCATAAAGAATAAGATAGAATTTCGTCAATACATCTTGGTTTTCTAATTTGATTAAGGGTTTTCCAAGCATCAAAAACCTCTTGCCAAAATTTATTTGATGACCTTTTAATAGGCCCAATATAACTTAGTTCACTAAAATTTATTTGCTCCACAATAGAGACTAATCTCACCCACTTTGAATTCGAATTATACAGCCGTCTTACCCATGTAAGTTTCAATCCCTGTATAAATGCTTTTAAATTTAGCATTTTTAAACCACCCATATAATAATCTTGACATAAAAGATCTCGCTTGACCTTATCAGGTTTATTATATCCCAGATAAAAGCATACATTTTATTTGTTAAATTACGTAACATATTCTCATCTGGACTAGGGATAGATAGAAACAGATGATTTAATTTAGATATGACCAAAGTTTTTAAAATGGCAATCTTTCCAAAGGGGGTGAGATACTGTTTTGACCGTTTTTTCAAAGTATTATCTATATTATCTAAAACTGGCCTATAATTTAAATTAATCATTCTATCTAGGTCGACTGAAAAAGTAATTCCAAGGAGCTTAAATGTACTGAAGCCCCATTTCAATCCCCATTTTACACAAATTTGATCCTGGCTATGTTTTTTGCTACCTATCCAAATAACACTTGTTTTTTCTATATTAATCTTAAGTCCCGAGATTTCAGCATACAATTGGCGAACACGAAGAGATGCATCGAGCGATTCTGGCGAGCTATCTAATATCAATGATGTATCATCTGCTGTTATTTAAATAATGCCATAAAACTTTGACAGGTCCAGTTTGTCGGCATCCTTGCCTATCGATTTGGAGGGAAAATAACTATTATCCATGAGCAAGCTTACTTGTTAGGACTTCACCCCCAAACTATCCACATGTAGTACTATAAAAATCTGATGAAAGAAAATTACTACGTTTCAGATAATTATGTAACATCAAGATCCTCATAATGATCTTTTATTAGGTGATTGTTGAACAACATTTTCTTCTCTTCGATAACAACGGTTTTGTCTCTTTCGCTATAAAATCTTGGTAAGATTTCGCCATGAAACAGCAGGCAGTTTCTAAATTATTTCTTTATAGCACTGGACTTTAAATCTACTGCGCTAGACATTTTATATATCTACAGGGCTAGACTTGACATTTAAAGCGCTGGACATTACATCTCTAGCGCTTGACTTTATATCTAAAGCGCTGTATTTTACATGTCCAACGCTTGACTTTACATCTCTAGCGCTGGACTTAAAATCTCGAGTGCTGTACTTTTATAATTACATCTCCAGAGATTGAATTTGAATCTACAGCGCTAGACTTTACATTTCCAGCGCTTGACTTAAAACAAACACAACTCTTTGTCTGTATGAGACCAACAAGGCTCCGTAAAAATGCGTGTATTTTGCCAATAGAGATATTGGAAATAAGATATATCTTTTCCGTCACTTTTATTACATGTTTAACTATCATAAGTTCATGGACAATGACTATTCAGTTTTCAATAAAGTTTCTTTAAAAGAGAGTGAAGGTAGTATTTAACTCTTTTTTGAAGATTGGAAAAGAAAGGATACGAAGAATTTATCATTCAAGTTAGGGAAGTACTTTTTAAGCTCAGTCAATAGAGCGCTAGCTTGAGACACATAGATCCCGGCTTCGAGTACTGGAGGAGACGATGTGATTTTCTAGAAGGAATCATACTCTCCGGTGACACGTATAATTATCATCTAACATAAATTAAAATAAAATTCCCATGGAAATAAGCTGTTTTGACATTCAAATTTTAAGACGGTACTAAATGAATGTTTAATTAACTTGCATATTTAAATTGCTACACGGCTTGATCTTTATACATTTTTGTAAGAATTTGAATACAAAGAATTGCTAAAGCTGCTAAATAGTATAATGAAGATTACTTTTAATCCACACTTTTGTTTACATTCCGCTATTTTGTTTGTTTGTAAACAATAAAATCATTAGTTGTTCGACAACATATTGAGTAATTGTAGAGGATTTCCACACCTATCGGCTTATTGATTCATAAATCTCGGATTGGCTTTAATTGATCAATTATTTATTGTTAATCGGATAAAAAAGTCATTGATTTAATTATAGTCAATTGTTACCTGACATTTTGAACAATGGCCGATGGGTAGGAAATCCCTTTCTAATTTCAAGATTACAATCGCGATGTTAGTACAATGGATATTTACTATATATAAATGTGTAAATGTCTTTCAACTTATTTTAAAATAGACTTTTAAAGCTTTTATACGAACTCAGCCAAGTAGAACAAGGCTTTGCGACACATGACTTCATCCAATATTTTACTACCTTGAACAGAGCGTTTCGGTTTTCGACTCCACCCGTTGAGTGGAAATTTGTGGAATTTGGAAATTAGACATCTGCTTCTTTAAAATGGCAGCTACTAGGAGCACTTGTGGTACTGTGATGCTTGTTGCAGGGACTTGTTTTACAATACTCACATTGATTTTTGTTGCTATTTCCTTTGCAACAGACTATTGGATATCGTATACAGTTAAAAGGGAAAACTTATCAAACGTTGTGAAAAATGCTGAAGCCACTAATGGTAGATACACGTTTTCCCGTAACCGTGGATTATTTAGGGAGTGTTACCCAAATGCTTCTGATGGTGAGTATATATATTAATAAACCCCACCCATATGTTGATTTCCAAAATGGCGACCGTATAGTTCAATACGGGTACATACAGTCATAATAACACGTCTTTAGAATTTACAATGAAGGAAAATTTGTAAATTTCAATTAATTCTTGAAGTTTGAATTTAACGATAGATATTCATTTTACTTCCATGCTAAGTACATATTTAAAAGAACGATTGGAAATGTTAATTTTAAGGTTAATGTACTTAGAAGTTGATCGATCTGTATTTAAAGTAAATAGAAAACGGGTTTCAGATATTAAATTTTCGTGTGAAATTATTTTCGCTATTTTCAAATACCTACCAGGCTAATTTCTATGTATATGATACACATATATGTGAAATTAACGTCTTTGCCTTTCATAAAAATGTGATGTCGTAATAATATTAATATGTGTTTAATCCACAATCCAAGAAAATTGGAAAAAAGATGCAAGTTTTTGATTTCACCATTAGAAAATGAAAGGATATGGAGTAAATGTACATGGGACAAAATCGCACACAATACATTGAAAACATAGAAAATTATCAATGAACAGGGCTTTTATTCCTGTTCTTCATCTTGACAGTTGATGTAGGGTCTTCAACAATGAACGAATCATTTATACCCTACAACAAGGTCAAGACGGCCCCTAGCGTCGACTTAAGCGGTACTATTGATAAAAATAAACCACAGTTCACCTTCTTGCTCCCACCCGCCATTGTCTTGTCAGCTGTATGGACGCAGTTGAACGTAAAACTACACTCAAGGTGTATGCGTACTGTACAATAATGTTTATGCATTTGATAGTTATGGAATCTATTAAAATCAAATCGCGTTCATTTGGGTGTATCGTCTGCTTGAGTGTTCTAAGATTTAATCAGTCCACCCACTCCAGTTAACAATTTCAACCCTATTTTCTCTACAATCCTTCTTAAAAATGTCTAAATAATGCAACATGATAGTTACTTATAAAGAGCTTCTGTTAAGTCGAATAATGATAAGCAGTATTTGTACTAAAGCCTCTCAACTTATTTATGATATCCATAGATAACTTCCGCTTATGCAGTATCTTCTAATCTTCTAATGTCAAATATTGGTTTATGTCAGCAAAGATATCTGCTTTAGTCGACTACAGCTAGTAGGGAAGTCATTGTATATTAAGATCTTTCTCTGTAGTCCATAGCTGAAGAACTTGCAGCATCTAAGAAAATGAATAATATCATTAAGTGCCCTTTTCTATGATTTCACAGAGGATCTTTAGATATTGTGTCACGTACACCAGTTAAGCAGGTTGGATTAATCATAAATTAATTTTATGAATATAAGGAGATGGTGGCTAAATGTCAACTGAGAAGCAATCCAGCAACACATATAAACAAGTCTGATATTAAAAAAAAAAAGAAGATGTGGTATGATTGCCAATGAGACAACTATCCACCATGTTTGTTTGTTTTACAATCTAAAATTGAGAATGGAAATGGGGAATGTGTCAAAGAGACAACAACCCGACCACAGAACAGACAATGTTCTACCCTTTTTTAATTAAAAAAAACCCCTAAAAGAATGAAAAAAGTTTTCAAGCGTATTATACCTTTAGAGAATGCAATAGCAAAGTTTTAACCTAATTGGCAACACTTTTTTTCATTTCACAAAGCGAAATTGAATGACACTAGCTTTTACTTACACACAAAGATTTTAAGACAAGATTTCAATTAATGGCCTTACGCGGTTTGGTAGATATGTATTTTATTACATGTATTAGATAAATTTAAATTATAGAGAAGAAGTACATTAATAGACTGTTGTGGGCGTACAAGTAACCTGTTACCCTATTTAAGACGAAGAGAACTTTTTATTTGGTGTTTGTGCATCGAAACCGGCTTAACAGAAATTTGAGACGACCAACTCCTTTATTTAAACAAATTCTTTGCAAAAAGTTATAAAAGTAACCTCCTATTTTACATAATTCTTCAAAAGAAAATTAATTATTTGACAGTACAGTTCAAGTTATGACGTAAAAGTTTCGATCAAAGAAAAATGTGTAAAATTTAGTCTTTTCAATAGCTAAGCTGTTAATGTGTTTGTGATCTCCAAGGAAACATTGAAAAGGATAGTTCATATGTACCTATAAGTGCATAACATAAGAAACAATTATTGTTCATGTCTGTATAGCAAGTTAAAATGAATTTATGAATTGATTGTTGTTTGCTTAACAGGTTAAAATGGATACTATATATACCGTTGTTCATCCTATAGTATTGTAAGTCTACATTACGACTTGATGGTAGAATGTATAACTAAAATGGGTTAAAAGCGCTGTTCCTTTGCTTTTTGTGGGTGTTGTTTTTTTTTTTGGTTTTTTTGCCGTCCATGTACTGATTTTGTGTCATGGAAGGATACCCCATATCCTTTGTTTTTCTATTACAATCATTGGACATAAATTCCAACAACACAAATAAACCAAACTAAACATTCACATATCGCTTAATTACACGTACGCATGGTTTTACAATATGGACAAGATAAAATTAGAAATTGAAAATGGACTATTGTTGCAGGATTATCTGTTCCACTTCTATACATTATATCAATCATTTCTGGTACTTAGGTACTCAACCCTTACCACATTATCCCGATCACTGAATGAACAATTGGTACATTAAAGAATTGTTATGAGGGTCTAGATGGAGTTTACAGAATAGAGGAATAAATAAAGAACAGAGAACATGGGGAACAAATAATAGAAATGAGAACATGGGGAACAAATAATAGAAAAGAGAATATAGGGAACAAATAGAATAGAGAATTATGGGGTTCTAAATTATATCGAATAATGAAAAATGACATAAAGTTTATATAATTGAGAAATGAAGGCCCCCTCCCCCATCCAGACCCTCATACTGAAAATCTTCGATTTAAAATAAAAGCATATTTAAAAATTATATAGGTAGTACAAAATGATTTTTTTTAAAACGTGGATGCATTAATAAATATAAATATGTATCAGCGGAGTAATAAGATCTCCTAGTTCATGTTCAGCTTTGCCAAGATATTGTTGAGTGATTTCATTATTCTCCCGAAATCTGATATGCAAAATCTTTAAAAAGAAGAATGCTAAGGAATTGTGTTACATTCAAAAGAGGAAGATCTCGCGTTTTATTAGAATGTAATGAACTTTATCATAATAAAAAGTAGTGCTCTTCCCATCTGAAACGAAACTTTAGTAACCGGAATTATCAAACCACGATACGCAGTTTATTCAGTTGAATACCTTGTATATACATGAAACGAGGTTATGTCAAATTAATACAGTGAACTTACATACTACACAAGCAAATGCAATGTTACGGTGATCTCCATTGATCTTCCGGTTCTTTAGTAATGATTTGACAAAAAGATTAACCTCGCACGACATCTTGGATGCTACATGTATTGGTTTATTATATCACAGAAGTGTCAAATATAGTGTATTATATCTTAAAATTGTAACTTTTCAAAATGTCAAAATGTGAAATGTAAATTGCCTCGGGCTACGGACCTATCTATGAAGATTCATATTATTATCACCAGTCACGGACCTAGGCTCTTCCATTCTCAATTTTATCCTTATCATTGTGTACATAGTCTCACATAGAGCATTGTTATGGTTACATCACCATGTTTGTGTATTCCAATCTTCTCTGATTTGTCGTTAGTCCTTGCGCCTGTCAACGTTGGAACAAATATTCTATACCATTTATTCCGTTGGGAACATTTACTGTAATATTTATTCCAGTGGAAATAATATTCCAGAATATTGTTTCCATTTGGAACTTACATTATGAAGGAACCTCTATTCCGTGACAGCGCTCACCTCTTTTAATCATCTGGTCGCCCATCTCGCCTATAAGTTGTCTAGTAATATCCCTTTGATTTCAGTGCTGACTTTCCGTCCGTTTAATGTTATATCGGTTGTCCTTCTTCATATTTACAATGCACGCTGATTGCTGAATGTCCAGTTGTGATATTATATGGATAATTTGGACAATTGTTCTTTATATCGTCCAATCAAAACTTTATATAAATAATCTAATATTTCTAACAACTCAATACAGAGACAAAAACTACTCAAACTCGCTAAAAATATTCCCTAGCAATTGCCATAGAATAACATTATCAGGGTAATTTTTTCGTGAAGTGCTATTTTGCCTGTTAAAAATCTTGAAGGAAATAATGGGATTTAAAAAAAAATTACAACCCAATTTGGGGCTTGAAGTTCATAATAAATCAATTCATACTTTGTTAGTCGTTTACTTGGTAAGAACTTAGAGCTACAAAGCTTCTGAATGTAAAAAAAGTAACTATATATTTGAATTTGTTTCATACACATGAATTCATTATACACTGAACAGCTACATGTAATTTACACTGGTGGATAGTTGTCTCTAAGGCAAGAACACCACATCTTATTATGTTTATATTGTAAATAAGAGTTGTGGTTTTTGCTATTCGTTTAAATTCTGGGCATATGTTAATAAAATGGCAAGATATAAAATCAATGTTCAAATGTTTTTCTGCTAAAAATGGCACCAAGCAGGCTTGTTTAGTATTTGAGTGTGCTTTTCTTTTTGAGTGTATTTCTTGCTTGCTTGCTAGAAGGAAGTTTTAAACATTTGACTTGCTACCAAACAAATATAGATAATACATAGCTTTATGCATAGTTTTACATATTTTAATTGTTTGTTATTGTTTTACAGCCTTTTTGTCAGCCCAGACAGCTGATGTGTCCGACGGGGAATGTTTTAAAGTAGACTTAGATATCCCAGATGCTACAGCAGATAGTCTAACGAATCATTATATATCTAGAATACGTAAGTTTTAAAAATTAAACATATTTTTACTGATATGTTAATTCTGCACTCAAACAAATATAGCTTGTTCATCATTCGCACCTTTTTATCTATTTGCACCTTTTTCTCGCTGTGCCCTTTTCTACAAATTGTTCACTGCTTTTAAAAAAAAACAATGTCAGTTGTTTCCTCGTTCTCATGTTTTTTCAAAAATTTCACAGCTGTGTAGAATAAGTGTAAAAGCATTGACGTCATACACATATTGATATTTTATCATTCGCACATTTTCTCCAAATGACCTCGTTAGAGCTGAATTGAACAATGCGCACTGCTAGAGGTTGAACAACGGATACCAGATTTGATCAAATGTTGTTTTTTTTTTTGTCTAAACGGGTATATACTGTACTTAAGACTGCTAAACCATACTTAAAGCACTGTATATATATATATTGACAAATAGTCTGACCTGTATTTGACACAATGTGAACTATACTTGGCACATGAAGTACTGAAATGAATTTAAGGATGTTCGCTCCTCTTGTTTTTGAATTTTTGCCAGATATTCAGAATCCTCTGGTTTTTATCCATGTAGTGTCATAAAAAAAATTTCCCCGCTAACCCATACTTTTCTTTTTATAAATTTATTACTAATAGTTTAAAAAGCCATATTTGAAAATTCTATAAAATCCTTGTTATTTTTTCATAATTTTTGAAGAAAAAGGGTGCCAATGTTAAATGTAAGAAAAGTCTAGAAAGAATTATTTCCCGCCAAATTTTCAATGGCTTATATCTCTAAACCAAGCGCACGGACCCTAAGTCTTTTCTGCTTTTTCAGTTCCTTTATTTATATACTATCAATTTATAATAGTCTTTTAAAAAGCTTGTTATTTTGAAACATAGTAGCGAATATCCTTAAGCATAACATGCGAAGTATACAGCACCAAGTTTGTACCATAGCCGACAAATTCAAAATAAGAATAATCTAAAACAGTCCGGGTAAAGATCAAATTGGGATTGGTCTTATATAGCTAATATTGGTCGTTAATTTTGGATTACAGTCAAAGTTATCGTTATTGTTCGATACAGTGGAAATACAAGTTAGACAACTCGTGTAAAATTTCAGAGTTTTCTGATTGGTCGAGTAAACTGATTCACATTAGTTTTGAAATACTACATTTTTTTTTATTTAGACTGTTTACGATTAGTATTGATATTTTCTATTTTTTAGATTTACTTAGATCCTGCATAGCTTTCATCGCAGTCGGACTATTTTTAATCCTGGTTACATTTATTGTTGGATTAATTCCATTAAGTTGCAGCAGACGATCGAAATGGGCTTTTACAGCGGGCTTCTTAGCTTTCTTAGTTGGTAAGTTGTCATGGGCTTCTTAACTTTCTTAGCTGGTAAGTCGGTATAAAAATTATACAACAGTCTTCCTAGCTTTCTTAGTTGGTAAGTTGTTATAAAACTTTTACAGCAGGCTTCTTAACTTTCTTAGTTGATAATTTGTCATAAAACTTTTACAGCAGGTTCTTAGCTTTCTCAGTTGGTAAGTTGTCATAAAACTTTTACAGCGGGCTTCTTGGCTTTCTTAGTTTGTAAGTTTTCATGAAACTTTTACAGCGGGCTTCTTAGCTTTCTTAGTTGGTAAATCGTCATAAAAGTTCTACAGCGGGCTTCGTAGATATAAGAAGATGTGATATGAGTGCCAATGAGACAACTCTCCATCCAAGTCACAACTTGTAAAAGTAAACCATTATAGGTCAAAGTACGGCTTTCAACACGGAGCCTTGGCCCACACCGAACAGCAAGCTATAAAGGGCCCCAAACATGACTAGTATAAAACCATTCAAACAGGAAAACGAACGGTCTAATCTATATAAAAAACTATAATATAGCTTTCTTAGTTTGTAAGTTTTCATGAAACTTTTACAGCGGGCTTCTTAGCTTTCTTAGTTGGTAAGTTGTCATGAAACTTTTACAGCAAGCTTCTTAGCTTTCTTAGTTGGTAAATTGTCATGAAACTATAAAAACAGCAAGCTTATTAGCTTTCTTAGTTGATAAGTTGTTATATAAATGCTTTTGATAGTTAAGCGCATATGTATAAAAGAGGATTTGGGATAGATGTTAATAACATAGACATCCGGCATTTATATTAGATAACAAACTGAAAGACATGTTCATTACCAAACTGGTAAAAATTTGAAAGCCGAGGATACTGAAATACTGCACCTATTACAAGATTAAACAATAATGATAGTCTTTTATTCAAAAGCAATACAGCTTCTAGAATTTACAGGTGCAAATATAATAGCATCAGTGATTAAATTACATATCTGTTTTACAATTACAAACACTTTGAAATATTGAATCATCGACGGAGAATGACAACAAATAATATAAATAATGAAATATGAGCATTATATTATGAATAACGAATCTTATCAGCTAAATAAAGGTATTTACCTAGATTGTTCAGCTTTTTATTGTTATGAACAGACAATAATTGTATAAATTTATAACAAGATGGTTTTTTCCAATAACATGGTTTTGTATATCCTTTTAGTCAATAGTCTTTCTCTCCTTTGTACCATGTTATTTCCATGTTCAACCGTAGTGGTTATAATCGTATATTTTCGTAATCAATAATTTTTTTTTATATTTTACAGCATTTTTCGTAGCTGGAGGAATGGCATTTTTCCATGGAGCCGAATATCTTGAAAAAAGAAAAATAACAGATACTTTAGATGGTGGTAAAATGATATTCTACCAATCGTGGGCTGACGTAAGTTTATTTTTGAAAAAAATGTTTCCTTTTAACTGCGAATGTTAATATATCTATACAAGTCTTCAAAGAATTAAAGAAACAGTCGTATTAATTTTTTGTGCATGGCTTTATTTGGAGAGGTGAGAGTTGCAAAATGAGTTATGAAAAAAATTACTTTTCGCAAGTAATTTATCAACAAACATACCTATATTACTTATCCGTTGTTGTTCCGATCAGACATAAAATATTTTTTAGTTATTCTTCGTAAATTTAGAATTTCTATTAGTATTATCTTTTACCAAAGGTGTGGGATTACGCCTTTTGTTCAGCTCGTACTGAATGTCTGTCTAGGTTTCTAAACTTTTATGGTTTCAAACGAAAGTCAAACATACTGCAATTGCTGATCTCCTAGATTAACCTCATCAGGATAGTCCAGAGGCAAAATTTTAAAAAAAAAGTACAGAGAACTTTACGGGTAGCCTTATGTCCAATCGATGAAGAGAATAAGTAAAAGAGACAGTGAGCTATAAAGGAAGAAAACTGTCAAAATCTCAAAATACAAAATAAACCTAGCCGCATGTCCCCAGCCTGTTCAAAACGAAGTATTTGAAATAGGTATTTGTTGCTTTTCCTCTGAGCACGCATAATTTAGGAGACTGATAGACTCCAAGTAAGAGTTATGTGTCATGGAAGGGTGACATGTCTTCCTGCTGACAGCTACCTTGTTAACTAGCATGCTAAAAAATCCGGCTCAGGATAACAATTTAGTACAAAGCAGGGTTTCTAATCAAACCACATTGCCATGTTCTCGTCCTGATTTGCATGTAATATTTTCCACTGTACGTTACACGCCAATCGATCATAATTTTAAGAGGTTTTCTTTTATATATCTTGTTGGTCTTTTTTGTCATTTTGGGAATATGGTTCAGATGTCAGATCTGTGATAGCCTGTCATACTCTGTTATAAACGTATTCCATACTTTTCGCGATAACGGACGATTTTAGAGCTTGAAAAACTGTGCAGACCATCTGTCTGTCATATTTGTTTTTCGTTAACTGTTTTGTTATAAATTAGGCCTTTAGTTTTCTCAATTAAATTGTTTCATATTTGTCATGTCTGGGCCTTTTTATAGCCGACTATATGGTATGGGGTTTTCTCATTGTTATAGGCCGTACGGTTGCCTATAATTGCTTACATCCACTTTATTTGAACTTTTGTGGTTGTTTGTCTCATTGGGAATCATACCTCATCTCCGTATTTTTATATTTATCAATTATTAAAGGCTACATATTGATCTCTAAATTATGTCGTCGATTAGTTTCTCATTTGTGGATAACGAATATAGGCGGTGTTGTAACAATTAAGCACCTTGTATCGACAGATAAGTTTTAAATTAAACACATAATGCGGGAAAACATTTTCGGATAATTCGCAGAGACTCATAAAATACTTAAAAAGAATTTACCATGCAAATCGAACCAAGACCAGAAAAAAGATTCAAAATCCCCCAGTAGTATCATTAGTAGGCAAAATACCCCTTTTGTTATCATGACATGATAAACGTTTGAATGAAATAGACAATTTTATGGTTAAGAAGTAGCTCTTTAAAGTCGTGCTGCTGCATTGTTTGCTGACTTATTGCTATGTTCAAGATGAACTTGACAAGTACAAATGCCTCTTGATATATATTTTTTTCTAATTTCAGGACATAAAAATTAATACCGACAGTGATTACGATTGGTCATATGCTTTGGGGTGGGTTGGTGTCGGATGTGCCATTATCACCGCTATCTTTTACGTCATTGCCGGATTTTACGTAGGCGATGAACGCTACGAAGACCGTGAATACCTCGATAAGTCATCATCACGTGGGCGTGGACAAGATTACGCAATGGGCAATGGATACGACAACAGAGCCTTCCCTCCTCAGATGGATCGTCCCTACCCAGGAGCATACCCATACCCAGGACAAGGATATCCAGTTCCCCCACCACCAATGGCTTATCCACCCGGTCCATATGTACAAGACCTGGAAAATGGACGACAGTTGCAACCTATGCCATACTGGTCGTGGAGTTAAATTATCGTTGGCGGGAGACATCCGCTATGGTGCATTTATATGCGTGATTTTTCAATATATACCGTAGATATTTGTCTGGAATCTAGCTTTTATTCATAAACTACAAAGTGCGTTCTAACATCCTTGCTAGTATTTACCACTTCAACTATGCAGAGAAAACCATACATGTAAGGATATTGGTCGACAGATTGTCTTACGGCAAACCATGTTGTAATCACGAGCACATCTTACATATTACTTAATACATTCCTCTTGGCTGGACATAACTTAATGACTAGGCATTTTAGTAATTCTCTATCAGCTCAAATTGCTCGGCCAGGTCAAATCAATGGTGTAATATATTTTTTAGATGAACTGTTTTCATATACAATGAGATTAGGGCCAGTGAAGAAAACCAGCATAATATTCTTTTACCTTTGTTAATGCCATATTTTAATTATATTTTTGTAAGATTTTATAGTACATGTATATACATGGCTGTGTACATATATTTCTTTTTTATACCATTCAATCCAAAGTTAAACAATCGTAAGAAAACACGATTTCAGTACGGACTTGCGAGTTTGGAAAACATAGTATAACTCTAGGTAAATAAGGATACTGAATTGACAACAAAAATTAGTAAATTTTACACTAAGCTAAGTCATCTGACATGGATAAAAATATAAAAGAAACAAAGCACTTAAATATGTATATTCGTTGGTCAAAAAATTTTGGTTTCCAGTTATTCCAGCAATACATTTGAATTTATTTCCTGTTTTCTTCCAATTGATAGGTTTTCGATTAATTACGATTTTTCTTTCTCCTGGGCCCTTCATTTAAATAAATATTTTTAAATTTACCATTATCCGTAAATAATGATTGATTTTAGTCTATGCATTTTAATTTGTGTATCTTAACAATACATTTATACTCTTGTATGTGTTTTAAAAACACTTATTACACAAATATGACAACTGCTGTAAATAATCACATACTGCTGCATGTATTCATTGTAATATCAGAGACATATTTAACCCGAGATCAGAAAACAGTTTGTATCAATTCTTTAATATTAAAAGTGGGAAAACGATACCAAAACACTTCCATTTCCATCGTTCAATAATGTCTATATATTAAAATAAAAAATTAATATTTTTAGATTTTTTAAAATCGTTTAAAAATCGACCTAGTTGACACTTTTGGTAACAAAAACGAGATTTTGACGCAATTTTGCAGTTACCAAATTCGAGTATATATATGTCTCTGATAAAGACAGTGAAAAGTATTTTACATTAAATAAAAATTTTACTCACAAAGTATATAATGTTTTTTTTCAAAGTTATATGTTTATTTTATGAAAATTATATAATTGTCTTTTTATCGACATTACATGATCATTCATTTTGTATATAATATATATTATACTGCAACAGTATTTCCGACACTGCCTTCTTGTAAGCAATAGTACATGTTTGATATTTCAAAACTGGTGTCTCATTCCAAAATTCATCAAATAAGATAGAATACGTCATTACCCGAGTTCTAGTCCACATGATTAATAAACACAGCTTTACAAAAAAAAAACAAATACATGAATACATGTGTGTTAATTCTAATTCGAGTAATTAAAAGGACTAGGATTAAATGCAACATCATGTTATGAATTCAAACAATTTTAAATAAGACATCAGTTTAAGGGTGTCTTCTTTTTATGCATTCCAATTTAAAGCAGTGAACATTTTTAGATTTCTTTTTTGGAATGGGGGAGAGGGAAAATCTTTTCTCCAAAATTTTCAGCTGTTAACTTTCAAACATACATATCGTTTTATCGTTTTTATCATAATTATTTTCATAAATGTATAATCTATAAAAGCAATAAAACTGTACGAACTCCTAATTGTTTTTATGTTTTTGTTCTGTGCGTTTTTGTCCTTAATTGAATATTATAAATTCTATGTCCATCGCCACATAATCCCTGTACATGTGTGTTATAGCTAATTTAAAAGAGGGACGAAAGATACCAGAGGGACAGTCAAACACATAGATCGAAAACAAACTGACAACGCCATGGCCAAAAATAAAAAGACAAACAGACAAATAATAGTACAGATGACACAACATAGAAAACTAAAGACTAAGCAACACGAACCCCACCAAAAACTGGGGGTGATCTCAGGTGCTCCGGAAGGGTAAGCAGATCCTGCTCCACATGTGGCACCCGTCGTGTTGCTTATGTTATTACAAATCCGGTAAATAGTCTAATTCGGTAAGTCACATTCGTGAAAAGGGAAGGGTATTGTAGTTACGAAATAAGGAACATATCCGATATCATCTGTGAAACGGTTTTCCATAACGGTCAACCAACTCGTGAAGGCGTCCGTAAAATTTACGAAGGGATGATTTCAACTTCACCATTTGGAACTCTTGGCTTAATAGCTTCCTTGTGAGCAGCAATCCTCTATCAAGGAAATCATGATAGGAAACACAAGCCCGGGAATATCGTATCAATTGGGAGATATATACTCCGTATGCAGGCGCTGCTGGAATGTTGCTACATAGAAATGGAAAGTTCACAATTGGGAAGCTGAAATCATCTCTTTTGTCGTAAAGTTTTGTTTTCAACCGACCCTCATTGTCAATTTCTAGATGTTAGTCAAGATATGAGGCAGACTTAACTGTATCTGTAGTATCCTTTATCTCTAGTTCGATGGGATAGATTCGTTCAACATAGTCACCAAATTTTGTATTATTTAGTGAGAGAACATCATCTATATAGCGGAACGTAGAGTTAAAGGATATTGCTAACTTCTTATCTTTCTTCCTAAGAAGTTCCTGTATGAAGTCAGCCTCATAATAATTAAGAAAAAAGTCGGCAAGAAGAGGGGCACAATTGGTTCCCTTTGGAATTCCGACAGTCTGTTGAAAAACACGTCCTCCAAACGTTACAAATATGTTGTCAATCAAGAAATCAAGCATCTTGATAATGTCAGTTTCAGAGAATTTTTTGTTCAGAATGATTCTTTACAAAGTAGGATTTATCCCTCCCCAAGACAAGATACTTGTATCTACGTTCGCCATTCTTTTTAATGAAACAAAGTAATACCAACTGTTTCAATTTGTCTTTTAGTTTGGAATGGGGAATACTTGTGTAAAGTGTAGAAAAGTCAAATGTTTTAATACTATTGCAAGATGAGAGAGTCTTATAGATTGTATGTACTCTAAAAGATCTTTGGAATTTTTTAGTATCCACATCTGATTCACGCCACCTCTAGAATAGGCAGTTTCGCAATAAATTTGGAGCCCGGCTTTGACTGCTGATAAAATAGATGTTAATAATTTAGAAAGAGGTTTCGTGGAGCACTTAGAAGACCCAGCAATATCCCGTTGTTTGTAAGGACATTTATGTAGTTTAGGTATCCAATACAGTGATGGAAGATCCAGTTCTTCATCTTTGGTTGAAATTCCAGAGGAACATAGAACAGACCTATGATTGTCAAGGATTTCCTCTTTGGTAAGTGTCGTGAGGGTATATGTTGAGTTTCCAAGTGAATTGTCAATTAAGTTGTACGACGGTTTGATACCGTTTCCAGAGCGGACTGCCATTCCTCAAGAGTTTCACCCATCAGAAACCAGTCCTGAGTGATTGAACATTTTCATTTTAAATGAATACATCAAATCTACCGTTCGTTTATTTTTGCCGTTATATCAAATTGTTAAAAAAATTTGGATACCAATATAAACGGAGATCTGAAACACGAACACTAGGTACAATTTGATCTATTTAAAAAAAAAAAATAAACCAAAGACGACCCTTTGAATCCCAGTTCTTAGAGGGACATATCACTAGTATCATTTATGGGCAATGCAGACTTACAAAATATGTGTGATGAATTAGTTGACATAACAACCTTCTGTCATTTCGGGGCCTTTTATAGCTGACTATGCGGTATGGGTTTTACTCATTGTTTAAGGCCGTACGGTGACCTATAGTTGTTCATTTCTGTGTCATTTGGTCTCTTGTGGAGAGTTGTCTCATTGGCAATCATACCACATCTTTTATAATACGAGTTGCATAAGCCTGGTTTACAAAGGGAACTTCCACTATTGACAATATTTTCTGTTACTAGTGACATGCACTGATTGCACTATATTTGTTACATAAGAGAAATATATTCTACACATGTATGGATTTAAAAAAAAAGCATTTGACACTGTATGAAGATTAGGCATGTGGCAAAAACTGCTGAAAATAATGTTTTGGGAAAATCTTTTAAAGTTATTTACAATATGTGGAATAAAATTAAAGCATGTGTTAATACTAAAATAAGGAGATGTGGTATGATTGACAATTAGACAACTATTTACCAAAGTTCAAAGGAAGTGGATGTAAGCAACTATAGAAAACCGTATGCCCTTTAATAATGAGAAAAAAAGCCATACCGTATAGTCGGCTATAAAAGGCACCGACATGAAAAATATGAAACAATTCAATTAAGAAAACTAACTGCTTAATTTATAACAAATCATTTTACGAAAAACAAATATGACATACAGGAACCAAGGACAACCACTGAATTACAGGCTCCTGACTTAGGACACATTTGAAGGCGTCAACCCACCCCTTATTGGTACAGTGGTGTAACAGTACAACATAAGAACAAAATATAAAAATCATTCGAAAAGGGCTGAACTCATCAGATCGATACAAAGCAGAAAAACATCTAACAAAAACACAGACTTGACGTGGCAGGGTATTTATACATCCATCACAACAAAAATGACACAAGGTACATAATTTATCTGAGAGTATTCGCAGTTACTGACAGCTAGTTCAAAGCCAATAACAAATAATAAAATAATCATATATATAAGACTAAAGTATCAATCAGTACACATCCAACATTTAATGGATTTAGAGTAAAGACATCATAAACAGTCAGAGTAAAACATGAACTTGTACAATAACAACATATAGGTATCGCAAACCTGTTATTCAGTTGTTGTTGTTGGTTGCCATCTGTTATATATTTTTTATTCTTTGTTGTAGAGTAAATCTGGTCGCTGTTTTTGTTTGTTTTTTTTAAATGTTGTTATACCGAGATATTTTATAGATAACTATATGGTATGTGTTTTTACTCGTAGTTTTAAGGCCGTACGGTGACCTATAATTGTTCAAATTTTTGTTGCATCTGCATTGATAGTCGTCTCATTGGGAATCATATCATGTCCTCTTATTTGCAACAGAAAACGTTCCATTATAGTTGAACAACAATAAGCCAAAATGTGAACCAGAATAGAGAATTTCAATACTTGATCAATATATTTCAAAATTATAAACTCGAGAAAACAAAAACGTGTATTTTAGTTTAAAAGAATAATGTCCACTGGGAACAGTTTAGTTGAAAAACGTCCAGAGTATTTTGTACATCTTCTTCAGATCCAGCCTGTATAAGATAGTATCATTTACCATATACTTATATATAAATAAACTTCAAAAATGTTCTAGACAAAACGATGGAATAGTTTCAAGACCTTTTATATTATTTTCACATACAAAAATCGTCGAGGTAAAAAAGACATAAAGAAAAATGGAATGAGTCAATATTTCCCATGACGGACACCTTTTTATACGAAAAACAATTTTGAAACCGATCTGTAAAAAAGACAACCATGGTTAACGTTTACTAAGTTTGTAGTTGTGATTTAAGATGGATAAAAAAAATTGATATTTAGAAAATTCTGAACTTTCTATAAAGTAAATGTACAATTTTTTTACATATTGTAATTTGTTCAAAGTCACAATTTAGTAATAGATTGTTCAAAATCACAATTAAGTTGCGATATACTTGATTTGGTCTTTCTGAAGTTTATTTTTAAATAAGTATTGCTGCTTGACGTCAATTGATTATACTCGAGTAACATTTATGTAATGAACTGTTGCTAAGTTCAAAAACTAAATGTCATTTTTTTAAATAAATAACTAATTACACTGGATATGATATGACGCGTTTGTCCTTTGGCAGTTATTTAAGTCACTTTAAAAGCTGACGTAACATTTAGTGCTTGGTAATTGCAAGGTGATAAATTTACCTTACAGGTATAAAGTCAATAGTTCACATGACAGGAGAAGCTGTGATATAATAACAAAGGTCAAACTTTTCACACCTTTATAGGACCAACGTGATGAAAGAAACTGATAAATTTTGTAATTTAGACGGGAATGTTTGAATAACAAAAAGTTGATGTGGTACGATTGCTTATGAGTCAACTATCCACCAGAAACCAAATGATGTAGATATAAGCAATTATAGACCACCGTACTGCCTTCAACAAGGAGACAAATATCCACCAGAGTTCAAATGAAGTGGATAGAAGCAATTATTTGCCACCGTACGGCCTTCTACAATGAATCAACTATCCACCAAAGTTCAAATGAAGTGGTCATGATATAAGCATAATAGGCAATCGTACGGCCTTCAACAATGATAACCAGCCATATCGCATAGTTTGCTATAAAAGGCCCTGACATGAATAATGTGAAACATTTCAATTAAGAAAACTAACTGCCTAATTCATAACAAAACAATTTACAAAAAGTAAATATGACAGATATGAACCAACGACAACCACTGGACTACAGGCTCATGACTTGGGACAGGCATATATAGAATGTGGCGGGATTAAACATGCTTGTGAGCGCTCAACCCTCCCCTAACCTTGAACAGTGGTGTAACAGCACACCATACGAACAAATTGTAAAAATCATTTGCAATGCAAAGTGGCTGAACTCAAACAATCGGCGCGAGGCACAAAAACAACTAATATAAACCAATAGACACAAAGCACAGATATAAGATAGAATAGAGAATGGAAAAGGGGAATGTGTCAAAGAGACAA